TGCATAGCACAAATGGTAGCCTACTTTTTGGCATTTGAATACGCATTTTATTGGGCCATTCAAACGGTTTGTCAAATTGACAGCAGCAGGGGCAGCAGCGGCAGCAGCAGCTTCCCTTCGACTGCTTTAATATTTTCCTATTTAGGTATTTCTTGACTTTTTACAGCTCAATTTGTTGCAGCTTATTGTGCTTGACTCAAGAGCATAAGCCTTAACTAATGAGCTGAACTTCAAGCCAGCATCGACCTCTTGAGTCTGCACTTATTTATTTCTTATTCTATTCAATTTTTTTATATAATATTCAGCGATCCATAGGCTGTTGCCTTTGTCTGTTGTTGTTCGTTGCGAGTTTAAATGCGTGCTGTAGCGATCTCTGGCTCGCGATGTAGCGCTGCGTTGCACCCAAGCCAAGCTTCAATATATTTTTTAATACCAAATATATTATATATATATATATTATTTAATATTTTATAATATATATTTATATTTTAAATATATAAAAAATCAGTTTCTGGAAATTGTAATATATTATTTAATATTTTTATATTTTCGATTTGGTATGCCTAGCAGACATCTTAAGAACTAAATTTAACATACGCATATGTAAATATGCCTATAGAAACATATTGATTGTTAGCAATGCTCGATCTTCTAGCTTCTTCTCGCATCTAATCCATTTATAGTTGAGATTTGCGCTTTTTGTATGGCGAATAAAAATTAACTTTGAATTATTTTGTGATTGCATTTATGCGTCGGTCAAAGTTCGCGCTCTTCTGTTGGGGCTGCGGCACGTGGTTGGCACCCTCCATTAATTTGCAGCTGCGTTGCCAACATACAACACATATTAAGCTAACTGTGAGGCGGGGCTGTCGTACACTTACGACTTAGCCGGTGTCGGCAGCGTTGCCCATGCCCAGGGCTGATTGGTCACGTGCCTGGCGCACGGGGCTGGGCTTCAATTCGTTGTGATTGCTTTGTATCGATTACAAAATGCATTACAACATTGCCACATGATAAATAACATCGAATGGGCGGTTCAAGGTGGGTGTAGGCCGAGACGGAGCTGGGGGCGAGCACAAGCGTGTCGCTATGCTTCAAATTAATGGAAACAATGAGCATCACGTTAGCTATACAAACTTCAAATGCGTGCTCCACATATTTCAATTCTCCCCGATAAAAAATATTGATTAAATTTGTGCAACAAAAAACCATCCATCACAACTCTCAAATTGATAGCTATGGAAAATATCCTTGCATGCATTGTAAGGAAATTGCCTTGGAATCATCATCTTTGTTCAAGCTTCTTGCCAAACACTCTTAAGGTAATAGCTCCCAATCGATAATCAATAATTGTTTGCAAATAATCTTTTTAATTGGCTCCTTCTACCTCTCTCCATCTCACCAACGACTTCTTTTTCTTTTTTTCTCTCTCTCTTGGACTAAATCTCACTCGTTAACTCTCTCTCTCTCCATATCAATCTCTCCCTGTCTCTCTCTCCCTCTCCCTCCATCTCAGTCTCTGCCACTCTCTCCCAACCTCTCTCTACTAACCTCTCTCTATTTTTTCAGTGTGACCATATGCTATTATTCTCAAGCTAATATTTGTCTATTCAGCCTATACAAGTTTATTTCCCGTATCCATATTTTTCCTACCTTGCTTTCAATCTCTTACTTCTTCATTCTCTCTCTCTCTTTCTCTCTTGCTCTTCTCTTGCTGCTGACTGCTCAGTGTGGCCGTCTGCCATTACTGTCTATTTGACTTTTTAAAAGTTTTCTTACTTTTGTCTTAAAACATTTCGCTTTCGCATTGCCTCTTACTCTTTCTTACCCATCCATCCCCCCTTTCTCTCTCTCTCTCTATCTCTCTCTCGCTCGCTCCCTCTGTTGGCTGAAAGTCATTTAAGTTCGCCATTTGCTCAGTGTGACCATGTGCTATTAATAACAAATGAAACTGCCGCCAGGCTAATGCACAGCACTTTGCTAACTTGTCCACAGCGCAATTCTTGTTGTTGTTGCAATGCTTGTTGTTGTTGTTGCCATTAAGCCACACGTGCCATTGTTGTTTGCCATTATTGCTGCTGCCATTGCCGTTGCCGTTGCCTTTGCCGTTGCCATGACACAAAAATAAAATGCAATGACGTGATTATTATACAATTTGTATCAATTTACTTTTGATATGGCGCGCACAGTTACAATAGCTGCGCCACAGCCATTTGCCTCACAGTGTCCCTTTTATTCGAATTGTTGTTTATTTATGCATATCACTTAATGCATGCAACTCTTGCCCCATGGGCTAATCCGCAATGCCTCAAAACGCCGCCCTTAAGTTGGCTTTATTACAAATGGGAATTATTATTGATATAAGTGGTTCGAGTGTGCCTGTGTGTGTGAGTGTGTGTTTGTGCTTTGCCAACAGCTGAAACAACATGGAACAAGTTGTACAAACTCCTGGGAGACGCTGCGCGAGGGGTTGGCGGGCAAACTCGCTTAAGACATTGCCGCAACGTGCCGAAAGTTTTTTGATGCTTGGACAAGCGCCTGTCACACGCATCCTCCAGCCACCCCAGCATCACACACAAACAGCCAGTCAGTGTCACTTGTGTTTCTTAAGTTTATTAAAGAGGCATAAAAGTGTCATTGGCGGTTAATGGTAGGCGATTAGTTGCATTAAGTTGACCAGCGCCAACCCCACCACAACCACAACGACAACGACAGCACCACACTCCCACTTGACTTCTCTCCCTCTCCCCCAGTCCATCTCGGACTAACATCCCCTTGAAGTGAGTGCGTAATTGAATAGCAAACGCAGCTACAACAACTATCTCATATCAATTTAGTGCCCAGGGATATTGCCTGTCTTTGTAGTTGACAATCAATCAGTTAATGGAAGGTCAAAGCAATCGATTGCCGACTGCAAATTAAGTTACTACCTATGCGAAACTAAACTTAAATTGATATTGAAATGCTCTTGGCTAATGATAATGTATTAAAGAAGCTCTAGGAAACCTGGAGTAATTCAAGAGTATTTTAAGATACGTCTCCTGTCTTATCGAACTCTTAACAATAGACTCTTTAATTAGTTTAGCAATTGTAAAATCCCCTGATTCCGAATGTCTTGAGCATAGTCTAAGCAGCTGTTCGGTATATGCATCAAGTAGTTATCGTATGAAGTCGAAAGTAGATAGCAAATCCGAGTGCAGACTTCGGCTATAAGTATAAATGTGTATTGCCAGGCAAGACCCGTAGCTGGAAGCTCAACGCGAGGCGACGTGGAAAAACTTATTGAAAAGTCATAAGAGCCATAAAATACGAAAATGTCTTTGGCAGGCGCAAGGCTGCCACAAAAGGGCTCTGCGTGTGTGTGCGGGGTTGGGGGGAGGGGTAGGCGTGGCAAAAGCTTTAACTTGTCGCTAAAGCCGCATAAAATAAATACAGCGAGTGGCGAAAGGGTAGGAAGCTGGAGGAGCAGGAAGGTCTAGCAAATGGGATAACCTGAAACACATTATGCCAATGCGATAAACCCGCAAGCAACGAAATTGTTTTTGGCTTCATCTTCGCCTGCTCGTGCCGCTGCTGCTGCTGCTGCCTTTGCTTTTGTAAATCATTTAACACGCTCTCGATTTTTATTTTAATGGCGTTGCCGGAAAGTTTTTAATGGCTAACGCAGCGGCAACAACTACAAGCAGCAGCAACAATAACATTAACAACAACAACAAAAGCTTCTGGTTTCGGGCCCTCGTATTATGGCCATCGATAATATGCGCAGCGTTTGGCTAAGTGGCAGGCATCGTAGCATCAAAGTCCTTTTATGGCATGCCACAGCACTCTCAAGATGTTGCCAACTCCCATTGGGAGCGATATATGTAGAAGTGGCTGCTCGTGCCACCCTGTGCCTGTGTGTGTGTGTGAGTGAGGTTGTGTATTGAATTATTTTCTGGCAAATATTTATTGCTCAGCATAATTTGGCAATCTTTGATGCATGCAAATTTTTGAAATACAATTAGAAATCTCTTGGAAGCCAGTGCAAAGTTAGCGAATGCCAAACAAAAGGGAATTGAAAAAAGCATATGACTAGTATTTATCTATAAGGAAAGCAGCGAGCAGCCTATATTTAGTTTGCTGCATAGATTGGAAAAATAAAAAAAGGATATACAAAAGAAGCCCAAATATAGAAGAAACAAGGCTTATAAAACGGATATGCATGATTAGAGATATGAGAGATATGAATATATATACCCATAAGCATATATAAAAATCGTTAACAGTTTCGAAGCAAGCAGGCATAAATTAAAGCGATTCAAGAGTTAAACTAATTTTAGCTTGTTTGCCTGCTGCTCTCTCTCTCTCTCTCCTCTTAGTGCTGTCTCTGTCTCTGACAGACTTTACACTCTCTCATCTCGTTCGCTCCCTCTCTGATGCCTTTCAGCTTGCATATGTGATATGCACAGGCGTCAAATGTTAGCGGCGATGTCAGCAGCAAAAGTCCTGCAGGATGCTTGCCGTGCGCCCCAGTGAAAAGCTCATCAAATCACAATGCAACACACACTTTGTACATTATGTGTGTCTGTGTGTGTGTGCGTGTGTGTGTTAATGATAATCATGAATATTATGCTGCTTGTTTGGTGTGTATTTTGGGCCCCGGGCAAACAGTTTGCCTGTTTGGCCAACAAAATGTTAATATGCTGAGCCAGCGTCCCGAAAGCCAAACCAAACCAAAGCAAAGCAAAGCAGGCGCATTGTTTAAATATTTGATTAGCTTTAGCTTCAGCTTTTGCCAGCCGTTGTCCTTAGTACACACTTCCATTTCACTTTTTCTACCGCATTCCGTTCAAGTCTTTTGTGCGCAATAAAATCAACTTAATTAAAGTTAAACAAGCAGCTAATCAAATTTTTATTAGATAGTCTTGGCCAACACCCTTCGGCGCCAGACAGTTAACTAAACGTGGCGTAATTTCATTTTAAAAATGCATGCTCATGTCTCTCTCTCTCTCTCTCTCTCTCTCTCTCTCTCTCTCTCTCTCTCTCTCTGTGTGTGTGTGTGTGTGTGTTGTGGCTAACATGCAACTTTGTGCTGCTCCTCGTTAGGGCGCTGACAAAGTCTGAGATGCTAGCGATGCATGTGTTTGTTGTGGCTTTTGTTTGTTTTGCTCATTTGTTGTTTTATTTTTCAACTCATTGAGCCTGTGATACCCTGTATATTTAAATAACAGTTTATTTGGTAGAGTGCAGTAACTGTAATAGCACTTACTACGTAATACTAACTGGCTTCTAGTAAGCTTTCAAGGACATTATGCTTTATGTACGCATGTACGAATTACAGGGTAACGTTGAGTTGAGCACTTTCTTCAGTCTTTTGTGTTAAATGAAATATAATGCTTGTTGCATAAAAAGTATTGTGCTGAAGCTTTGTTTGACTTTCTTTTTTTTATCAGTTGTTCCACAGCTTAACTGAGTATAACAGGTGACAACTGCTCGCTGGCGCCGTGTAGCCACCAGGCACGCCACATGGTCGGCGTGCGTGTCTCAAAATCATCCACATTGTAGTGCTCGAGCTCCTCGTCGCAGCTCCAGCTGCCGATTATGTTGGGCCGCTCGGCCAGGCTGGCGTTGGAGCTGAGATTGTGGGAGCTGCTGTTGTGCGGCTGTGCGGTGATTGTGAGCTCCTTCAGCTGCAGCTCCTGGCACTGATGTTGGCTGCTCGTTGGCAAGGTGCTGGCCGAGCAGCAGTAGCAGCAGCAGCGACACATCTAAGTGAGAGAAAGAGTCAAGATTCAGGGAGAGGCAACAAGTGGCAGCAGATTTTAAAGGGACTAGCAAAAGCTCAGCTGAGCTTGGAGTGAGAGGAAGGGAGTGAAGACAAGGGATTAGAATATGAAGATTTGAAACTCACATAAACAAAATATGACCAGCAGCAGTTAAGTCATAAGGACTAGACCAAATCCAATATGAGATCGATTCAGCTTCTGAAGAGTGCGGCTCGGAGAGCTGCGCTGTGTGTGCGGCAGACTGTGGCCAGTGTGAGCTGCGGCTGTTGCAATGGCAACGCTTTATATAGAGACAGACAGAGGCGACTAAATAAGCTCGATTTAAAGGCAAAACTCTCAAATTTCCTATAAACCAAAAAAAGAAACAAATTCTTTACAATTTATTTGCTTTTGCTAGAATTACGCGCTCGACAACTGTTCAGCCAGACAAAGTGTGTGAGAACGACGCAAATTGTAACTAAATACAGTTTCGATTATTCATAATCAGCAGCTGCGACAAACTCGTTTATGCAAAATGCAAAATATTTTATGAAATAATTGAGCGGATTATTATAAAATCACTTGAAATATGTGTATATATTGCTATATGCCAGTATAAATTATAATTATTATAATTAAGCTTAATACTACGGCCATTCAATCAGAAGCGAGTAATGCGGTTGCTGCTGCTGCGGCTGCGGCTGATTATCATTCATCATGATGTATGCATAATGTGGCTTATATGAGAGGCATTCTGGAGTAGGGGGAATTGACATATTGTATTACCAATTTGCAGATGCAAATGCGCTCACAGCCGACTGATGTCTAAAGTTTCACGCACAAACTGCTGCTAAATGGCCAAAAGGTTAGCGGGGCATGTGGCATTGGGTCGTATTGGGTATGGGCACCAAATTTGGCCGCTTTGTGTAATTCAAGTCCAGTTCAAAGTCAACTTTGAACCAGGAGTATTGATTTACGGCCATTTTGTTGTTGCCTTTGCTCTTGATTGATTTGGCCAAACACCTGACTAGAGTCAGCTTTCAGCTTGCAGCTGGGCTAAAAGGCAAAATAATGTGCGCCATTGCCCAGGTCCACATCCGTAAAGATTTCAATTTCGTCCTTAATGGCCACGCCCGAATAGCGCTCACCGCTGGCGCCTTTCGCAGGAGACGCCGGCGGCGGCGACGGCGGCGTCAGCTGTGGCAACAAGTGACTGGAATGCACATCCGCACAGATGCTAATCTCCTCGAGGTGGGCTGGTGAATGTGAGCCACGTAAGGCAACGGCTGCCGGCATCTGTTGATCCAGCTGTGTGGGCCGCAGGGCCAGTAGCGCCGGTTCCAGCTCCAGCTCCAGCTCCAGCTTCAGATTGTGCTTCTGCTTTGGCTGCAGCACCTGTGGCTTTACCGATGCCGCCGGCGTCAGCTCCAGCTCAGACTCCAACTCCAATTCCAACTGCAGCTCCAACCCCGGCTCCGGCTCCGGCTGCTCGACTTTGCTGTGGCTAGACGACTGCTGTTCGAGCTGATCGGCAAAGGTTTGCTCATCGTCGTCCTGATGCTGCTTGAAGCAGTAGGCAAACAAGAAGCAATCGGCCAAGAAGCGCATTGCTCGACTGCCCGCCCACAACTGGCCGGTGGACGGGCGCCGGCGGCCAAGTGTCGCAGTTATATAGAGTGCGGCCCCCGGCCAGTTGCTGTTGCTGTTGCTGTTGCTTAATTGAAATGCAAATTGATTTTTCAGTTTCAGTTTCGGCACAGGTCTGTCAGCTGTTTGCTTATCGATTGATGACAGGTCGCAGCAGCTGCTTCTTGCAATTTTTTTTTGTTTTTTTTTAAATACATTTTCCTTCGACTTAGCACAGTTTCCCTCTCATTTTTGCTTTTTTCTGCAGTTTCAATTTCAATTAGCTGGGGCGGGCACAGTCAAATACAATTTACACTTTTCGTTGTCTACTTTTGTGCGCCACGCCCTCCCCACCCCCCAAACTTGGACCCTAATGAGTTTTGTAATTATGCAAAGTTGAACATAATTAGAACAGCGGCTCAAACACAAAATTACTCGAGATGAAATTCAAAACGAAATGAATGAATAAAAGCATACGCAATGGGGAGCTGGGCCCCACAAATATCCCCCAGCTACGCATCCTGCCAGCTGCTCGTAAACAATACGTTGATAAACGTTGCCAACAATCGCTAACTGCGCTACCCAACGGCGAGTTGCTCTACTGCGTCAAGCTGTTTGCTACACAGCAGCGGAGCCTGCTGGCACACGTACAGTAGTCATTGGCATATGCGCAATTTATATAAATCATGCATTGAAATAAGGAGCAAATATGTGCTTTGATTGCAGTCTTAAGACTTGTGTTTATGGATATTCATGAGGGCAGATTCGAACTCAGTTCTGTTGCTGCAAATTGCAATTACAGTAGTCATTGGCTAATACACAATTGATATAAATAGCTTGAAATGAAGAGCAAATATATATTTTGTTTATTTTAAGACTTTAAAACTTATGTTCATGTATATTCATGTGAGCGTATTCGAACTGAGTTCGCTCTTCTGCGTGCTACACAGCAAACAAACACTTGTAAATACAGTAGTCATTGAAAAATATACCACTCATACAAATAGTGAATATGTGCATTTGTTTGAAGAGAAATTATGTGCCTTGATTGTTGTGTGCGGATTTGAACCATTTACCTGTTTCTACTCTGCTGTTTGCTATATCAAATTGAAGCCTGCTTCGATCCACTCAAACCCTTCGCCCATCTTACAGCTGAAAGTAAACGCCTACACTCGAACCAACTGCCTATTCTAAGCTTGCTCAGGCATATTTTGTAGAAATATTTAGTTTTTTTTTTTAATATAAAATTAGTTCTCTGTGAGGCACTATTTTTGTTTCTGTTAAAATTTCATAAATTGTTGTTTTCATTCCAGCATCAAGGCATCCATAAAATTTAACAATTATCAATTGAAACAAAGCATATTTATTTCATTTGAAACTCAATTAATTTCATAGCAAAATATTTCGTCAGGAATGCTAAAGATATGAAAACAATTAAAAAGGGAAATATGCTTTTGGCTTGCTCTGCTGGCAATGCCAGTTAAGAGATAGAGAATTGTGGTTTGCTGGTGTGAGTTTGGCAAATTTAAGCTTCATGCTGTGAACTTGTATGCCCTGTCAGCAAGCTAAGAGGGCATATAAATTGTTTGAGTTGTCTAACTGAATTCATATTTAACATTTTGCAAGTTCAAGTAGAAGTTGGAGCTATCAGCTGCAGCTCTGTAGTTGCTGCTGCGCTGTGAGCGCGCATTAAGCAGTCGACTATAGCCGTTCGAAGCTTTTATTTGTTAGCTATATGCGTTTTTTCTGCTCCTTTTTTTGGGTTGTGGCCGGGCAAACTAGAAAAATATCAATGTCATTTACAGGCCTTGGGCTAAATTGGGGGTTGCTGCTGTCAGTTGTGCGTGTGGTTTCGCTTAGTGTTCCTGTTGTTGTTGTTGTTGTTGTTGTTGTTGCTGTTATGTAATGTTAGATGTATGTTTGGTGTATTTTGTGCGTGTGCTTCTTTTTCTGCTGCTGCTGCTGGGGCACATCATTGCGGTTACACTCGGGTTGCCTGGCGATTTGCCACTGTGCAGTCTATGTTGAGGATTTGGTTGCTGTTGTTGCTGCTGCCCAATTTGTTGTTGTTGCTTGTTTATTTGGCTTTGGTCTCGTGGCTGTCAAACCAAGCGCATAACCGCAGAGCGACGCACAGCAGCCACCCCGAATAGACCGTTGTTGCACGTTTGCCGGTTGCCACGCAGCTATTTTCAATTTGTGTTGCATAAGTTCGAGCAGCGCCCAGCTAAAATGGAAGCTGCTGCAAATCTCATTTACTCACTTCTATTTTTTCTTTTTGTATTTACGTATTTTTTTTTGTTGTGCGGCTTCTTCTGCGGGCATAGAAAATCCGTTTGGCCCGAAACGAGCTTCAACCCCGAATTGAGAACCCATCCGCTTTCATTTCTGTTTTCTGTGTCCTCTTTTTTTGTGCTGCGAATGGTTTCTGTGGCTGCTTTGCCTGCGCGTCTGCTGCTGCTGTGGTCATGCCCACTTGATGCGTATTTAATTAACGTTAATTGAAATTGATTTATGTATGCAGTGTGCGTACGCTGGCCCCGCTCCGCCTTCATCCTGCCTGGGCATTACCCTGTTTGTTGGGCAATCGAAAAATATGCTGCGTGAAATTTGCGGCAAGTTGTTCGATGTCAACATCGCATCGACCTCGCTCCCAAATATTTGCTGCATATTGAAGCATGAAAAATTTGCGGCTTCATTAAATTAGAAAATTTTCAAGTTTGCTAATTGATAAATTCGTTTTGACGCTGCTTTGATGAAAGGTAAAAGAACTTTTTGACAAATGAGCCAATGGCTGCGGCTTGTAGCTCAGTCATTGACCGTGGTAGGCGGGCCAGGTTGAGGTCTGAGTTGCAATGGGAAGAGGCAGCGAGTGGGAGTTTAACAGAGTGGCTGCCAGTTAAGTCAAGATAGGTAAATATGCTTACATTTCTTATTCAAACTTATATAAGAAATCCTTGCTTAAGCTACACAAATTAACCAAAGATCTGGGCCAACATTTGCTGCTGGAATTAAGCACAAGTCATGTGCTTATCAAAAGAAAGCGCCCAGCTCGTGCGGGCAGGTTATCAGATTTTTGATGTTTTCTGATGTAAAAACTAATCAAATCAACGCGCGGCTGCTCGAGCCGGGCTTACGGGCACATAAAATTAACGAGCAGCGCCTGGAAATGTGCAATGCGTTTGCGCAATTTCCACATCATTAAGTTTTTTTGTGGGGCCAAGAGCGAGGAGAAAAGAAGCGCAGCAACGCAATTGCAGAAGCAGAAGCAGAAATAAAAGAAGAAGAAAAAGCTAACAAACCAATTCGTGTGCCGAACATTAAAAGAGCTCAGCGAAACACATGTGAAAGCGGCGGCTGCTGCTGTGGTTGCTCTTGCCATTGTTGTTTTTGGCTTTTATGTTGATTTAATTAGAAAACGCAGCAGGCGCAACTTTTCTTGGAATCTCTTTTATGGCATAATTTTAGGCGCAACGAAATCGAAGCAGTCCCAGTCCCAGCCAGACTGTTAGACAATAAAAAGCGACGCAGAGCATAACGAGCGGCACCTGCACCACCCGGCGCACCACACTGGAGTCTCGTAAATTAGGAAATGGTATTTTATGCGTGCACAAATAAATGTGTGTGCCACACACAC